TGACTGGCGCCGGGGGGGCCCGGGGTCTGGCTCTTGCTGTCACGGGGCTCTGCGCGCTTCACCTCCACCTGAACAAACAGAGGCGCCACTTAGGAGACGTGGGGCAGGTTCACGCACCCCCCTTCCCTTCACACACACCCTTAATTACGCTTAAGACTACACTTAGCATCTTATGACTTATGTCTAAATACTTAATTATTAAACTTAAGGCCAGTAATTTAAAATGTTTCTCAGGTACAATATATATGTTGGTAAGACATTGAGTCCTACTGTTGAGGTATTTCAAGAAAAACACATCCTACAGATCACTTGTGTCTCATCACAGCACATACCCATTGGCTTTAACCTTAAAACAGCAGTACCCTCTTACAGCGGCTCTTCACTTGAAAAAGCATCATCTCGCACTCTTCAGACACAAATTTAACATTTCAGGCCGGAGTTGCAAAGGTGACATTTTCAGTAAAACACGGACTTTGAGTAAAGAGCACGCTCTGAAAAAGGGTACTAATGCTTTAACCATTCAAAGGTGTTTGGGGTTCATTTGAAAGTTACGGTTTAAACCCACCCCGTCTAACTGCAATTTGAGCTCTGCTCATACCTGAGAAACACACAGTTGGTTGGTTCTTTGCTCGTTTTTTTTTTAAACTTAGATTTTATTTAAATGTCTAATGGAAGATAAAGACTTACCTTCCCCAGGCTAACGCTTAAAGAATCTCAATTAACTCAAACAATGTCAGAGGGAATGGATGTGATAAGAGAATCTTACATTACATCTAACAAAAAAGTAAACAAACATGCAAGTAATAAAAATGGACAGTTGAGTCAATAAGAAGCAAATCTTCATACTGTGTTAAGTCAGTGACAAAAGCCCTCCTGTTTTTAAAATTAGTAAGCCACAGTGCTTAACTTATTTTATTCAACGATAAAATGTCCTACTGTTCCAAGCCATCGAATAAGTGCGTTTGACCTACTTAAAATAAGCTGCACATTCAATATAAACCTCTATCTCTCAAAAAAAAAAATCCAGTTTCTGATTTAATGAAACACTCTCAGCACTCATGCATGCTGAATTAAAGTCTTTTTTTATTTTATGATTAATTTTAATGGGTGCCAGAGTACAAAGAAAATAAATCTCAATCATCAATGGGCCTGAGTAGTATGGAAAATAAAGTATTCAGAATTCTTCCTGCCATGTCTTAAAGCCCATTCATGTCAGAGAACAAACAGGAAACAGGCACAAGGCAAGGACAAAGCCCCCCGCCCCCAGCCCCGCGGATGCCCCAAGGACACTCGACATGACAGTAACCAAATCTCTGTCAGCTGAAGGCCCCGCCACAGAGGGACCCGGGGAATTTTTCAAAGGGCTCAAATTAATGAGTCTTAACACATTTGCCTCGAGGGAATTCAGCTATTGCTTACAAAAGCAGAGTCCTTCTTGCAATTTTAATTTATTTTTTTTTTGCCTTTCAACAACATATGGATGCATTTCAGCAATACCTTTTTCATCACCAAAAAGAAAGAGACACCATTTTTTAAAGCGGGCATTATCCGTCAATGAAGGGAGCGGCGTATCTGGAGTTCGTTAATCTATGGGGGAGAATTCCATTAATTTTTCAGCGCGCACTTGGAAGCGGTGAACTGCCAAAATGAGGGCTGAAAAATCCCTGGGCGATATTCTTAGCGCCGAGGTTAAAATTCTACACCCGCCAGTTTACACCCAGAAACAAGGCATCTCCGTTGCTCCTCGCTGAAAAAACACTGCCTATTTCCGCTTTTCATGTCATTGAAAGGGGAAAAAAAAAAAAAAAGGCAAAAATAAGAGTATTTAATTTTGGTACCGAGACCGTTTGGGAAACGAATGCTGAATTAAGCTCTGACTTATTCTGAACACCGGCAGCGTAAGGGGTGACATTTCGAAGGCTCACCCAGGGTTCTCCAGACTTTCCCAGCAGCTGCACTATCTTGTGCTCCTATTTATCTCCAGCCCGCTGCGGCGCTGTCAACTGACCTCTCTTCACGTGGTTCGTGCAAGCTGAAGGCAACTCCAGGGAAAGCCCAGGGGCTGGAGGCAGGACCCGGTCACTCACACCCACACCCCAACGTGAACTCTCTGTGTCACCGAGCCCGCTCCGCTGCTCGCCAGAGGGAAACACGAGCAAGCGAGAGCAGGCCCTCGGGTTCTTGATTACACGAGAGCGCTTCTTCCTTTGCTTCGATTCCATTATTAGGAAATCAGCCTGTTCCTCAACTCCAACACAAGCTCGTAGGAACAAAAAGCAGGATATACTGCGTAACTCACCAAAACCCCACTGGTATGCAAGGCTGTACCCTGCTAGCTAAGTGAACGCTTACGAAGTACCAGCACACAGAAAAACTTTAAAAGACAAAGCAAAATTATACAATGCAACAATTTCAGGAAAGCGAAAGTGTTCTTGGGTTTCCCTGGAATCTATTCACTCCAACGTCAGCAGTTTTAACATTTACTTTAAAAACTGTGGATACACTGCAAAGCTGCGAGGACTTTAAATTTACCAGGGCTTCCTGTGGTTATTTTTCTCTTTAAGCTATTATTTTCTCTGTATAAAACTTGTGTCCTGCAACAATTTACTTTGCTTTCAGTTTTTTCCACAGGTATGAGCATGTTCCTTGCCAAGTAACATCAAAGCGAGCCTCCAAAACTCCTCCCTGTCAAACACCCATTTGCTGACAACACAGTATGAAGATGAAACAACCAGAGGTCACTTAACTGCATTGTGGTTAAATACTATATAGAGTACGTGGGTTTGTATCAAAGTTTCACAGTAAGTGACCCAATTTTTTAAAAAACCAATCCTTCACGATGTTTGGGGTTGTTTTTTTTTTCCTTTTTCATTTTAAGTTTAAGAGGACATAAAATAGATTGTCTCACACCACCTCAAAATCAGGAGTATCAAATACACATCTGAAGGAGTGGTATCTTAAACCAAGCCTTGAACAACTCAGATTTCACTGGGATTCGGATTTTCAAACGCCTGGAAACACCTTCCTTCTGCCCTCGCCCCCAAGTGCCGCTCCAGGCTGGGTCCCGCGTGAGCTCCGCTCGGCCGGAGCAGCCCCCCAGGTCTGTAAGCACAAGGCCTCCCCCAAAACCAACGAGCCCGCAGCCGAAATCCTCAGGCTTTCCAGATCCGTCGCACCTCCGGGCTAAGCCGCACGCTCCCCGCCTCTCGCCCGCTTCAGCAAACTCCGAAGACTTTCCCCACCTTCATGGATAAAGCCTCGAATTTGGACTTGCGCGCTCTCCCGCCTGAGCCAATCACCAAGTTTTATTCACCAGCGAAACTGCGAGTTGCCCAAGACTTGGTTCTTTCTTAAGGTAAAATAAAACTACAACTACACACTTTTTTGCCCATGATGTCGTGAAAATGCATGTTGACAGCCTGGTCCACTGATTGTTCGTCCTCGAAAGTAATAAATCCAAAACCTAGCCAACGACGAAGAGTGAATCAAGGTAGCAGGGTGTTGTGACACAAAACAGGATGATGAACAGTATTAGGGGCGGACCAAGGGTTCAAGCAGGGGTTTCAGATAACCGAGACTTGTGTTAAATTTTCCAAAAAAAGTCAATCTGAGAAAATTGCAATGGATAATTCCTGTAATTAGGCAATTAATGCCTCATCCTGGTTTCACACATGCATCTTAGAAACTTGTTAACCAGCTCTTCATTTGATTTTATTCCTAAGCCACCTACCAGGAAATGGAAAAAAAGTGCTAAGATAGCCATAAATATAACCGTGCCACATGATTAAAAACAAAATACTTGTGGGACAGTAGATTCAAGTCAAGCAACTTCGCTGCTCCTACCCTTAATTCCAGACTAGGTTCCCAAGGAAAACCTCTCACGTCTCTGTTCCCCCAAAGCTGCAAAGCAACTTCCTCCCACCCCTGACCCCACCTTCCAGTTAGGGAATATTTTCCGTGGAAAATAAGAAAGTTGTCTTTGAAATGTAGCTGTTGAAGCATGAAAAAATTTTACCACTCCATGGATGAATGAAAAGCTCTAGAAACTAACAACCTAGCTCAGAGGTTCTCAAGTTGCCCGCACCTCGGAAAAAGCGGAGAGCAGACGTTAGCCCTGCCAGGCACAGCGCCCTGCACCAGCTACAGAAGCGGTGCTGGTGCCGTCACGTCCCTTAACCTATTTTATTCCTTGTATTTCCTGCTGCTTTTCTCTGGAAAAAAAAAAAATCTCTGCAACGCTCTTCGGTCCTTCTTTTTGCCCAAGACATTGCTCCTAACTGCTCCGCATGCCCCAGGGCGGCTCTTCCCTTTGTCTGCCCAGAGCCCCTGCTCAGCTGGATCCAGGACAGAGTCACCGGGGAGCGTCTGAAACTTGCAGAAGATGCTGGAAAAGAGGCAAAGCCCCGGGACTAAGTCGCTTTTCGAGGTCACACTTTGAGAACCACTGCGCTTAGGTTGTAGCTGCCGACACCGCCGAGAGAGTGGCAAAATCGTGGTTAATCTCGCAGAACACGGAGGCTGGTTCGTGCCATCAACCACTGGCTGCCGGTGGAACAACCCGACCCCGGGAGAGGTAAGGACACATGCAGTACGGAAACTGTGCCATTCTTTGGATTAGCTACAGGTAGAGCAATAAAAATTAGAAAGAAAAAACGAGGTGCGGCATCAGAAGCATATGGAACATGGATGCATTTCTGCTTTTCTGAAACCCAAGATTTCCCCCTTGGTTTGCATTTTGCTTTGCAGCTAGTGCTGACAGCAGCCATATATTGCTCTAAAGCGTTAAACAGAAATACAGTATCTATAACAGTTAGTGTCTCTCGAAGCTTATCCAACTGGGTTGGCTAAGCCCAAAGAGGCCTATTGTAGAGAACGTTTATATATAAAAAAAATACACAAAGATACAGGCCAAAATAGATTCCAGCAGGTCAAATTCTGCTGTCAGCAACAAGAGCAAAAGACATCACTAAAATAAACTTAAAATAAAAAGGAAAAAACTTAGCATTTCCCACACACAAGAGACTGGCAGTATAAACGAAGTTTTGTTGACCTGTGATGAAAGCAGCCTCAAACCTGAGAGCAGCATTTCATCACAATATATTTGTCTGAGGTTAACTAGAAACCTAAGTATTAGAGGCCAAAGAAAAGCAGCTTTACTTAAATCCCACATTTAGTACTACAGCCTGTGTCTAGAAGACATGGGAAAGAAAAGCGAGGGACAGTATCTCCGTATGAAGGTTGCTCGTTTAACTCGGTTCCAAGAAGACTGAAGGAGCTCATGGAATAGCTCATGGGAGGGGAATAAGGAAGGAGAGTAAGAGGTCACCGAGAAAGCCAGTAAAGGAAAAAGGAAACAAAGAAAAAGGATTTAAATGGGTCAAACACCACGAGAGAGGGAACGGTGAAGAATCTGGAGTACAATACACAGCAAAATTCCAACAACGTGGTATTTTGAGAACAGTGAAGGTGATGAAATCTACCATCCAGTAGCTTTCTTTTTTGAAGGACGAGACTTCATTGAAGACTGAAGAAACTAATTGCATTTAGCAGGACTGCAAGTGGACGACTGAACACAGCAACAACGCTGGTTTGCAGCCAAGGGGAAGAAGAGAACAGACACAGCAAGAACCTGTAAATTACTTCACAGTTGTTGGTTTAGCCAAGAATAGAAACCATGAGAAGCAGGGACTGCAGCAGAGCCACTGTGTCTTTTAAGATGTCACCAGGCTGGCTCCGCTCATGCCAGGGGCTCTGAAGAGAATTCTGATGAAAGCACCGCTCGCAGCAGAGCGGCCAGCAGTCGGCAGGGACTACGAGCACGCAAAGGCAGGACTTGGGTACGTGAAGACACGCAGCCGGCTCCTCAAGGGCAGCGCCGCAGCTCCGGCACCACCCGGGACCCCGGCTCCCAGCGCTCTGGGAGAAGCTGAAGGCACGTAATGCCACAGGGGTTAGTACCAGGGAAAATTTTTTCCTCTTCCTCCCCACAAAGTAGTGAAATGACCTGTAGAAAGGGATCTGTGCAGAAGGCAGGGATGGTAAAGTCGATGGAAGAAGGCAAAATTCAGAATGGTACAGGCAGGAGATGGCAGGGAACTGGCCTTTTAGAGATTATAAATAGAGTCACTGGGTGTCGTGTCCAAGGGCCAGGGACAGCCCGAGCAGCGCTCGCTGCAGCAGAACACGGGTAAGAGGAGGCAGGAGACACGTGCTGGGACACACGGCCGGGAGCACCCAACACCAACCAGGAGGAACTCTGCTCGCGCAGCCCCAGGCACTGACAGAGGCAGTTGGGAGGCTGCAGGTAAGTCCCCACGCCATGGGAAAGAAGTGACAGTGCAACCAAGAGAGCCAGAACAGGCTCAGGAACTGCTGAAGCAGCGGCTGAACTCAGGGGCAAGTGTCCTGCGGCACATCTGCACGGGATGCACACCGATCGGGCTGCAAACCCGCGCACAGCCGGCACTGCGGCTTTAAGCTACCACCTACCTAAAAGCTTGTGCCTTTTTTTTATTTTTTAGTATAGCTTTAGGCAGAGAAGCAGTTAATTGAGACTAGGATTAATCCACACCAGGCACGATGGTTTAGTACCGTTTGCTCAGAGGCTGCAAGGCTGGGATTAAATAGTACGAAGATAGAGATGGTACAATAATTACCGAAATATTTCAGACCTTCAGCTACAAGTTATATTCAGATGCCCATATCTTTGTCTCCACTGCCTCCTCTATTTAAAATCAGATGCTCTAGAGCATTTAAATAGATGAATTTACGTTCTGCTTAAATAAAAGGTATCTGTTGAAAGAAGATTTAAGATAGCTAAAGCAAGAAAACAAAACAAAAAACAAATATATTGAAACTTCGTTTACACTCCAATATAAGACAAAGCCCGTCCCTCCTCTGACTGTGGAACTGGCCTGTACCTCTGTGATAAATTATCACCTAGAGAGAAGAAATCTAAAGAGATATCGTTAATCACAGTCAAACAATTCACAGAGAGAAAAGAAAAAAAAATAGAAGGAAAAAAAAAAAGAACTTACTTAACATTACCGTACTTTACTATGAAACACTTAAATATGTCACTAAGGATGTATGTCTAAATTAAAAATAAAACTAAGACTTAACAGCTTAATAAATATGAAGTGAAGAATATATTTCTTAATAATGAGTCAGAAGAGAAATGAAAGTTCAGATGGCAAACTATTCTCCAGCATGTACAACATGCTACAGGGTGGTCAGTGCAGCTACGCTTCACGTATTGAAAATATTGCCTCTTCCTTGTCAAACAGGTGACAGGTGCAATGGAAGGTGGATGACATGAAACTTGCTTCGTATTTTGACCAAAGGTTACAAACTCGATTAAACAATCTAGTGAAACCTCCAGTTTGGGGGGGTTTTGGTGCTGGTTTTCGGTTTTGTTCCCCCCTAACAAAAAGCAGTCTAGCATTCAGGGATTATGCATCCCAATCAACATAAATATTTATTTCAGAGTAATTTTGTGCAGTTTAAGTGGTTTTTCTTTAAGGTGAAGCCATTTAACCAAAACCAAAAGCACATAATGGACGGATTCTGTTCTAACCTCACGTTCAGAAGTGCTCTGAACCGAGTATCCCCCCCATACAATTACAGACATCAACTGACCTTTCATGTTGAACAGGAGGAAAATCTGCTCTTTTTTTTTCCCCCAATAGTACCTTAAGCCACAAGAGCGGCTTTAGAAACAAAACTTTACTCAGCTAAAAGACTAGCAAAAAAACCATAAATGAACATGAAACATCTGACTTTAAATGCACAGATATCAACTAAAGCTGCAGATGAAGAGTCTAGACTTGAAGTGATTTGCCCAGTGAATTATTCTTTTTCCTGAGGCAACACAGAAAAAAAAATTAAAAAAAAAAAAATAAAAAGAGTCTACCTTTTCTGATGGTGTGAAATAGTTTGCCATCTGACTATAGGAGAGTATGAAGAAATTTCAAGGACAAACTAGATCAGCCTTTACCTCGGGGCCTCTGTTTCTCTGCGTCATAGATCATTACAACTTCAGTGACCTGGAAGAGAGAAGGGAAATTCTAGCAACTGTGCTACCAGGGGAGCGTTAGAAACACTTACTACAGGCTGGTTCCCACACTCTACCCGCAAAGCACAATTAAATGCTCGACGTAGCCCTCGATCCCAGCACAGCGCAAACAAATTGGGAATATTGCTCTTTACGGGAGTTTAAGAAAAGCCCGAATTAATCTGGTCGGAAAAGCTGCTACATTGTGGCTTTTTAAGGTCTCATCACATTTAGGATTTTAATGTAGCATTAAGGTCACTACCCTGCTCACACCCACACTAGAGCCTATAAACAAACCCCAGAGGTTTCCAGTTCTCATCGTACTATTCATGAGCGTAGCTTCTTATAAGATTACTTTTTCCATTTTTAAACATTTTCACTCAAAAAATGAAAAGCAGCTTTAACTCCAAACACATTTAAGAATTTGCCCGGCTTCTGCGAATTACTTACTTGAATTCCTCAGCGTGGCACTGAGTTACAAACTGATGCTTTGAATAGCATTACAGAAAAAAGCCTCAAGTTATGGATGATGAGTATGATTTTAACTTAAAAAACCAAGAAAAACGCAAGCTGTCTGAGGGCTTCAAGAGCTTTTTCAGAGTAAGCACCACTGTGAGCTACAATTTAAACAAAACCAGGGGTGTAACTCAAAGGCAGCACTGACACACCCAAAAGGAACTGCCTTTAATTTTCCAGGTGCAGAAAAGCGATCACAAAATATGTGTGATCTCACATAATCTCTTTGCCTTCGAGTCAGTCTTAGAATATTTGTTACTGGAATCCCCTGAACGTTAAAATCTGATGCAAGTTCATCTTTGAATTGGAGCTAAAAAATACACTTTTCAGGTTGTTACCCTTGGATGAGTAGGATACCACCAGCTGGGATTTACGCCCGCTCGGGGATTACGCCATGGGGCAGTGCCAGATTTTTTCCACTGGATCCCCTTTTTGGCACTGGCCTCACTCCCCAGGCAGCGGCCACAGCCAGACCCAGCGCCTGCTTCTGCCTCATCGCTCCGTGGCCACAAAATACAGAAAAGAGCCTCGCCTGGGCCCAAGCTAAGTCAGTAAAAACACTACAGCGGCTCCCCAGTTTCTATACTGTTGTTAAAGTTCTACTACTTACTTTTAAAGGCACTTACACTCAGCGGCTGGTGGCTTCTCTATCTGGTGGAACATAACCCTGTCTCTCCCAAGCCATCCACAGGTCACACATGGAAAGCCAAAAGTCTGTGAGGAAGAGCCTTTAGAAATTGCGCTCCCCCATTTCTATTTACAAGTCTACAGCAGCCTTTCGAACTAAAGAAACAGTTGTTAGCCATTGCCTTTTTTAATTTCTTTTTAAAAATATCCTAATCAAATTTTAAATACAGTACTCTTGATGATTTAGCCATTTGAGAAAGAATCAACAAACCCTTTGCTGCCACTATGGAGAGATCTTAGAAAAAGGTGATTAAAAAAGGTATCAAAGGAACCCACTAAATGCCAGTCAAAGGTGGCAATCTTTGAGACTCTCAAACTTATTCAGAGCTGAATTTAATAAATTAGTTCAGCAGTCTGCCATCTTAAATGGGCATAATAGTTGGGATAAACGGGAATTAAATAGAAAAAAAAAGACAACCTCCAAATCAGAAGACACAGTAATTCTGGTCTGAGGTTACAAACCGATTTAAAACCAGGTGTAGTTTGTCTCCAGAACGCAGGTTCTAGGGACAATAGAACCTGGTCGATTCAGATGATTATTTAAAAAGCAACTGCTGTTACCAGAATGATGGCAAGGGACTGCAAAATTTCACCTCTCTGCGCATGCAGATCTTGGACCTAAGTTCACTGAGGTACTTACTGTTCCCCCTCAAAAAAACCAAATTCCACAAAAAGTTTTTAATCACCGAGCTGTAAGTTATCAAGTGAAAAGAGAAAAAAGATCTTAAGCCAACTCAAGAGTTCTTGCCAGAGGAGAACAGAATAATGCGTTAGGTAGACTCAAACAAGAGGAGACAGAAGCAGCAAAGTAAGTTACACATCAGAGCAAGAGATTTTGACAAACAGCGAGATACATTTCAAGATGATGAGCGTTTACTACAGTTTATCACAAAATGCTTCAATACATCCCTGCAGCAGTTTGTCTAAATTAACCCAAAATTTGACAGCTTGACAAAATCTGAGAAAAGGCAGCGGGGAAGGAAAGCATCTTGCAACTGACTGGTATCTGCCACCGTGCCGGATGACTCACCACTCCGAATTTCTTGAAGTATTCCCTGAGCTCTGTCTCGCCACAGTTATGAGGAATCCCACCAACAAAAATTTTATTTGATTTATTGTTATCGCTCCTGGATCCTTTCTGCTAAATCAAGGAGGGAAAAAAACCCACATCAGTCAGGAGGACAATAAAGTCATCGATCTCGAGCATTTGACACTAAAACATGAACAACGGTCTCTCGCAGGCTCAGGGGGAGCATCTGCAGGCTCCAAGTCTCCTGGTCGTTAAAATGAAGCAACTGCAGGTTCCAAACTCCAGAGTTTAGTGCTCGCAGTTGTACCCTGGTCTCTGTTCTTCTTCTTCAGATCACAAAAGCAGGGACTGTGTTCTGAGGCCCTTTACTGGGTTTATAATGAAACTCTTAACCTGCAGGGTGTGAAGGAGGCTGGAAAAGAGCATCAGGCCTGCGAGTGCGCTTCCAGACACTTGTTTCGAGATCTGAAGAACCCAACTATAAAAGCACCGCAGAGAGCTTCAGAAAATACCACACCCACAACCCGAGTCTGACGCAAACACAAACTGTTCGTTAAATCTGGATTGTACTTGGAGTCTTACCACGGAAATCTAAATACAAAACATTTCACAGAAAGATTTATGCTCAAGGCCTGCATACTGACTCCCGATTTTAAAACACGGATATAATCCAAACGAATTTAATTAAATTGCTAGAAGGTAAAGCCAAAATCTGTAAAACAGGCAGGATACACCAAGTATCTTTCCTTACCCATCCTTCCTTCGGTCGTGTCCTTTCTGGCTGCATCCCCCTAGGTGTACATGGCTTTGGATCAATCTGGAAGAAGTTCCAGTTTGGTCAGATCTCAGCGTGCAGAATATTGTTCAAAAAGCTACATTTACGGCAGCTGAACACAGCGGTGCTGAAATCCAGCTCCTCGCATCAAAGCTATCGTCAATACATCGCTTCTACAACGTGACACAAACCACTGAGTTAAAGCCGTCTTACAATAAATAATTAAAACCAACAACCAGGTGACTTTTACACTCTCCAGTTGGCAAATTAGAAGCCAGAATTTAAAACAGATCTTTGAGGCAGCCTGGAGCAGAAAGTTCTGAAGCAGACAAAAACACCACACAAGCAACTTACGTTTCGGCCATCTAACGTATGAGGTCTACTGGCCAGTACTGTTCCCACACAGTTGGGATCTTTAAATTTGACAAATCCAAATCCTCGGGACTGGTTTGTTGTTTTGTCTTTCATTATTACACAGTCTACGACTTCTCCATACTGGGAGAAGTAGTTACGAAGAGTTTCTGTTAAAAAAGAAAAGCATATATTAAACACAACTAGGTATTAACTTCACCAGGCTGTGTTGGCAATCGTGAGACAAAAGATAAGCAAAGTCAAACAAGTTCAAACTCATCTTCTGAAAGAATGAAATTTTACTTGTCTAAACAAATGGGACGCACTACTTGCACTCCAAACGAGTGTCGTAGTAAAGCAATGGTAAAAAATTGTCACCTTCTGAGTCGACAAAACCTTAAGTACCAAACACCGATTAAAAAAAAACAACACATAAACCCAAAAGTAATTAACATATATTTGAACCCTCTCTATAGACAATTTGAGTTATTAACAGAAGGGAGCAGAACAGTCTCATCCCATCTTCCTCCCGGGGCCGGGCTGTTACCCCGCTGCGCACTGCACCCGCGCTGCCGCTGCAGCATCCAGAGCTCACCTTGCGTCGTGCTCCAGTCCAAGCCACCCACAAACAGTTTTCTGCAAACAAAGCAGACAGCAGTTTTAGGGCGCTAGTTAAGGCACAAGTCAGCTATTCGGAAGAGGTCTGGCAGTACCGAGGCTTCCGAAGAACACAAAGCCCATTCTTCCCTGGAATTCACTGTTCTTTGCCGCAACTACCTCGTCCCATGAAAATTCACGTAAAAACAAAGTATCCCTTTTGTGTGCCACAAGCATGAGCACAGACTGAACGTTTATTACAGGAATACATTCTATCCTTTCATGCAAAGAGAAGACAAAAATGTCAGAAAATAAAGGCCCAAGTTTCCCCAAAGTTCTTCTTTCCAAGTATTTGAGAAGGCAGCACTGCTCTGAGAGATTGTTACAAGAGACCTTACACGGGGAAAAAAATCAACCCAACACAGACCAGCCCGTCAAGTCCATTTACCTGCTCCTTCAGGGCAGAAAGGAGTTCCAGCACGGAACACTGCACAGTTTGGAAAAATATGTATAAAGTATCACCGACATTTGAAAAGCGATCCAAGAACTTTGTTACAAAGTCTTTCTACCTGGTTAACCCCCACCCCCCAATTAAAAAGGGCTGTTTGGATTCCTGTCGAGGACTGGCTCATTGGCTCTAAGTTACTCACAGAGGTTCTCTTAGTAACCCAAGAAACCAGCTGCAGGGTCCATGCAGTTCCAATTTAAGGACAAAAACAAGATCCAAAACTTCGGAGATAAAGCACAGAAAACCAGACATCCTGGTTTAAATCCCCAAGTGTGTTCCAATGCCCAGCTGAGGATCAAGAGGCGCGTGCGGTCCTGCATTCGGCCTCCGAAGGGAAGTGCCAAGGGCGGTTGGGCTCTCGCACATCCCCCTGCTCCCTGCCACTGACCCCGACCAGAACGGTCACTGACAATCCAAACAGGCTTTGTCCGTCCCGATCTTCTTGTTGGATGAAAGCAAAAGGAGAACTACCACGTTCAAGTCTAGGAAGGGAAACGTGTGAAGCAAGTACTAAACGTCAGAGTAGCGCTAATTCTCTAATTAGTTGTGAAACCGTTTATAATCCAGAGATAGGCCCAAACAGATGAGAAAGTCACGGCTAGAACCCAAACTGAACTCCATGCTTAGAACTTCTGACACCTCATCCTCTGAAGAGAGCACCCCAAGCTGCGCCGCTTCGTGTGGGAGCACGCCCAGGTACCCAGGGACGCGCCGGAGGAGGAGCGGGGAGCTGCCAGCCTGCCTGCTCTGCAACTCTTTATCAACCCCAGGGTGGGACAGGACTTCCATGCAAAGCAATCTGCTCCGTAATTAAAGGGTAGTTCAAAGCCACCTCAACACTTGGCCCCTTGCCGGGAGAAGCACCAACCCAAAAGCTCTTCTGTTAAGAGTTTCATGGGTTTGCACAGAGAAGCGCCAGGACAGTTCGTTTTGGGAGGATGCCCTCTTGTTTCTCTTATCAGTCCTCAAAAAGAGGAACTTTACTCGCCCTCAGATCTGAGCGGAGGCTCGGAATTCGCACACCTCCACTTACGGGGGGAAAAGCTGAAGTTCTCCTCACAGCAACAAAAACAAACTTCCTCTCGCCTGCTTTTTCCAGGAGCAGGTAAGGGCAGGGAGGGCTGGCCGTGCCCCAGGCACAGCACTGCCCAGGGAGCACCAGGCAAGAGAAAACCTCGCGAGCAGAAGGCACCGCGCAGCCAGGAGCTGGCAGCCAGCGCCCGCGGTCCCTCTGCACCCAGATTCAGGGCTCTGGGACACGGCGTCACGTCACCAGCCCTGCGCAAGGGCCAGCGGGGACTAAACCCATGGCTTAAGAGTGCAGGGAAATAAGGTGACTAAATTCAGCCCCACACAGTATCTACACCTCTTCCATCGAGGCAAATTTTATTTCCAAGTCACTCGTTGAGGGGTGACGTAAGTCTTGTCTTTCAAAATTAAAAAGAC